GAGAGGGCGCCCACGGTGAATGAAACAAGCGCGGGAGAGGGAGAGGGCGGCAGGGGCGGGGGACAAGGCGCGGGGGAGGGCGGCGTCGGTGGCAGGCACCAGTTGGGGCGGTGAATGAGGATTCTTTAACGAGGATCAATGCGCTGGGGACACAAAACATGGTCGGACCGGACCAGCCCGGCCCGGCGCGACACAGCGACCCAGCTACAAAATAAGTTATTTTGTAGCTACAGATAAACACAAAATAAAAAGTAGGACACTGCTCCAATACTCCTCTTTTGCAAAATGCACAGATCTCAAAGCAGCCCATCTATTTAATTACCTTTTTCTTAATTATTTTCCTATTGGGTCCCGTATGGTCTGGCCCATCCAACCCAGCCCAGTTTCAGCATGACCCAATCTCTCTAGACCCCCTTTGTTCGGAGGCTCCGTTAGTTGAACAAGATGGCGCCGCCCATTCACGAGGAGGCAGGAGCCGTAGCCGGTGGGCTGACAGAACCAAGGAACAACAGCCGGCGAGCGTAATCTCAATTGAATCATGAGAATATCCATGCTTATAGCTTCCAGAACCCACAAGTAATTCTTGTCATCTTTCTCAGACAACCACTAATCATGTCATCGTTGTTTATTCACCTTTAACCAATTCACCATTATCAGTAGTAGAACCCAACCTCCGTCCATGTGGCCGATCACATAACTGAATATTGTGTTGTCACTCAACCTTCCCATATGACGAGACCATAATTGAACACCAGATCAGAATTCAAAAGCACCAAAGGCAGGAATCATTACCAGCGGGCATCAGGAAGGAGCACCGCCGACAGCCCTACACCAAGTACACGATCGAGCAGGACGTGGTGAGCGGCACCATTGAGCATGTGATGAATCGGGCGAATTCCGGCGGCGGCAGCTCCACCGACACATCAGGGCTGGACTCGGGCTAGGTTGGACAGGCTGCACCCATGCGACATCCAGGAGAAAATTAATTAAGAAAAACAATTAATTAGATGGGGTACTTTGATATGTGTGCATTTTTAAGAAAAGGGAGTATTGAAGCAGTTCTCAAAAAAGTATTAGCTTTATGAAAAATTATTAAAAAAACAATGTGCAAAGCTATATAAAGCAAAAGACAAACTAAATTACAAACTATTATGCAGAGCTCATAAATTACACTAAATTATTTTCATAATCTAGGAATTTATGGCTAAGCCACACTAATGTCCCTCGTCAAACTTTCAAAATAGTCTGATTCCGTATTCATCACCATGGGTTATATTATGCTTTTAGGCTTGTGCTAAACTCTCGTAGTAATTAATGGTGATGCTTAAATAAAAGAAGTAAAGATTATGGGCCTGTTTGGTTGCCCCGCCACAACCTGCCACGCCTAAATTTATGTTTGCCACAAGTGCTTAGGTAGGTGTGTTTGGTTGATTGTTGAAACAAGGCTCGCCACACCTGGAACAAGCATTCGCCATGGTTTTTTGCGTCAAACGTGTGGCGTGGTCTTCCCCCACCTCCACCACAAAGCCCTCTACCGCCATGCCTCCTCCTCCATGGATACGTTGTCATCCCCACCCCGCCAACCATGACGAGTTCTTCTCCAGGGCTGCCCTTGGCCGCGAGGAAGCGGAGCCAGTCGTGAAGACACCCTTGGGCTCGAGGACGCGGAGCCAGTAGCAAACGAGGGTGCCGCGGTCATGTGCTGCCGTGTAGTTGCCGTTGGGTTGGTTTTGGTGGGCGGCCAACGTTTTGCCGCATCGCCCTCCCTCATAGCCCCTCCACGATATCTATATTTAAGCTATTATTTCTTACCTATCAATCTCTATTTAATATATTATTTCTTATCTATTATTAATTTGATTTGATTTAGTATAATATAGTTTAACCACATGTGTCAAATATTTGTGGCAACCATCCAAACAACCATCGAAATTTTGCTACACCTTAGTGACGAACCAAACAGTCTAATTTTACCACATAATTTGGCAAGCCACAAGTGTGGCTAACACCTAACCTTAAGTGTTGCTGGCAACAAACAGACCCATAGGTTATGTCATGTCTTTAGTACACGAGAGAAAACATCATCATATATACTACTCTGTCCCATAAAAAGAGTCACTATGAGACTTGTGCCGGTCAAATTTTATTAAGTTTAACTAGGTTTATAGAAAATATTAGCAACATTTATATCTTCAAATAAGTTTATTATGGAAATGTATTACATGATCTATATAATGATACTAATTATGTATCATAAATATTAATATTTTTAATATATATTTGGGTGATCTATAGACGGTTCCTACTATGCCTCTATTAAAGCCATACTCATTAAATGCTTCTGTTAGAAACCCCATGGAATTATGGAAACTCATTAACTCACACTACACAACACCAAGATTGGCGATGGATGATCTGATGGTAAAAGCGGATATAGCAAAAAATGATCTGTCGCTAAAAAGTTATAGCGACAGACTTGTGCAGACGGTGTAAGTCCTATCGCTAAAAATCTTTAGCGACAGACATTACTTTTAGCGACAGACAGTCTATTGCCCTGAGTATTTATAGCGACAGACAGCCCGCTGCTACTCTTTAGCAATAGATAATCAGTTATCAAGCATTTACCGACAGATTATCCATTACTCCATGTATTTATAGTGACAGACTGTTCAACAAGACAATATAAATATACCCAAAAAAATAAATATGATTTTTTAGCATGTATCAAATCGATATTAAAGCCTTAATATATTGTCCATGTCACATGAAGATACACAAACACATATATCACATGCAGATCAATAAATATAACATCCAGTTTGTCTTGTACATCACATCCAGCAAAGTCAAGCCACCAAAAGAATTACATGAATTCACATCCAGCAAGCAATACTAGTACTTTGTGTTTCACATACTAAGATTTGTGCACACTATCATTTCTAGGAACTCAAAAACCAAAAGGAATGACTTGCCAAAACTAGAGCACATCCATCAGTTGTAGCCTTCTTAAGCAAAATGTTTATAATTGAGTTTGGGCTTTATTTTAGTGGCTTTCATAGTTGTATTTTTGACCAAAGTTATTTACAACTATTGATTGTCACGTTTCTATTGTCCACTAATAAGTTGTTTATTGTCCTAAGTCATACTTATAAGGCTCATTCTTGGGCATAATGCAAAGTTTTAGACATTCTTAAGGAAGGCTATAACAAATATTTAAGACCCTTTTTAGGATTAATTTAAGACTAAAGTTAATAGCCTCATTATTAAATTAAGTCAACTTTACGCTTCCATAATTAAGTATAATAAGTTGATGATAAGGTAAATTCATTTACTCCGATAAGTTATTACTTGCTAGAGACATGATAAGTTATATGATTGGTTTTGTGGCCTGTGGTTTTGTTATGACCAACGTTGTTTATAGTAACTTGTCATTCAATTAATCTTCAGTTAGAGTCTCTAGCATTTACCTTTGGGGTGCGTGAGTTGGGCGTGGGGCCCATTTTTTAGCGACAGATAGATCAACCATATATCTGTTTTTAGCGACAGACGGATTAACGTTAAATATGATTGCCTATAGCGACAGACAATGAGTCGTTACATGAGGAATTAGCAACAGATCGTCTCTCAGTTATCTTTAGCGTCAGATCATCCATTGATAAATATATTTTTTAGCGTTAGATGTCTGACGGTGATGCGGTGTTGTGGTGTAGTGTCACACGTAATTCCATCAGTTGGCATCTTAAAGAAGTCAATAATTAAGCTTACTCTTTCAAGGGATAAGTCGAAGGGAATGTAAGTCTTTCTCCCCTCATATTTTTTCAAGGAATAAATTGTTAACTATAAAAAAGTTGTGTATAATTACATCCTAATATGACTAAAGGAAAACTAATACGGAAAATACAAATTCCACAGACAAGGAGGCTATATGGCTATCTAAATGTAGACTAGCACACCATGATTGTACCCTTACAATTGAGTGTGAAAGAAAAGGGTGATTATATTTGTCCACCTATATTCAGCGCATGGTACCATGTTGAAATACAGTTCCTTTATCTAAAAAATGGTAACAAAAAGGCTTGATGCTCCCCCAACCAACCTACTACTTTGTCTAAAATCTAGATTTTTTTCAAAGACATATTAGTATTTCAAGACTGGTGGATGAATTACAATTGCAAAAAGGGCAGAGGGAGAGATGGGGAAAGGCGCCTGTTTTATAAGGAGTAGAGGGAGTGTGTATATTTCCCCAGTCAACTGTCCCATGGAGAATGGAGCTTCAAGACAAGATTAAGAATCATCTTTGTTGTGCTGTGTTAAGACGTATGTATTAATGTAATGGATGTTAATCGCTATGTAAAATTGTGTCTTGGTACTTTGTAATTTGTCGCTATTTGTGTAGTTTGACATCCTGAGCATACATATAGTTGTTAAAAGTTAAAAAACTAGACGTGAGAAACACAAACAATAGAAAATATGAGTGAGGCAGTAGTTGAATACTTGTAATAAAGCACATGCATTAATGTAATATAAAATTATGGATTTTTCTTTTGAACTTTTCGGTGAATTTTGAACCCTGCTTCACTAGCACATAGCTTATTTTGAGGGAAAAGATAAAAATGTCTCTTTGCTAGGAGCTCCACCAAAAGAGAGACCTTATTCTTTTATCAAGACGAAATCTGCACTGGTCCAACCATGTGCCTCTCCATTATTAAGAAAGTAAAGTAGGAACGCTGGCGGTGTCTGAAATTAACAACATAATCTCATTACAAAACAAGATATGTGATCCGTATTTTTCTTGCACAACCACAGATACCGACACACACCACATCATTATAACACTTTTATCATACTGCCATGGTGCCTCACTGTCCATGGAAAAGGTACCTTTATTCTTCGATGACGGAAGAGTTAGTAATCTCCTCTCCCTGACCGGACGTACTGCCATATTTCATCTTTATATATAGAGATATATAATAAATATAGAGAGAGTTGAAAAAATCTTATTAATAATTATGCGAGACTGAGCCCGCAAAGGTGAGTCCGGAACCTCGAGTGGCCTCCTCAACAATCTTATCCAGCCTCGCCGCCATATCCAGCGTCATGTAGTTTTTCCAGTCGCCGACCTGCCCCTTCCTGAAGAACGCCTCATTCCTGAAGGCCAGCACCGTACTGCCATTCTTGTTCACGTCCATGCCCTTGAGACTCGACAAGCTGCATAGCTCCACGATCTGCTCCACCACCCCAGCCTCCTCCTCCACCTCGGAGAACGCGCACCCCATGAACGCTGCTAGCTTCTTGAGGTTACCCACGGTATCTCCCAGCATGTCCTCGTACCTTAGGAACAGCACCTCGTTGGGCCTCCTCTGGCTCTCGTGCCAGAACTCCAGGGCGTTGCGCCAGTAGGGGCCTCCGGGGTACCGTCCCTCGCAGAAGAGCTCGAAGACGTCCTCGAATTTGGTGAGGCCTGCCGCCGCCGACTCCCCGACCCAGCCGCCGCCGCAACCGGCGGCGGCCAACGTCGCCGCCTCCTTGAGGTAGAAGTTCCAGTAGGAGACCAGCATGTCCTTGGGATCCCGGCACACGTACACGAGCCGGCACCCGGAGCCCTCCGCCGTGATGGCCTCGGGAAGCAGGGAGTAGGGCACGTGTGTTTGTACCAGTAGAGGCCGTGGAGAACGGACGGCCTCGTCGTCGTCCTGGGTCACCATCATCTCCAGGAAGCCGACGCAGTCGTGGGGGTTGTGGTGCCTGAGCGGGTGCTGGGCGTCGGACGGCGAGTGCGTGGCACGGTTGAGCGTCGCGAAGGCAAGGGCCTTGAGCCAGGTGGTGCCGGATTTGGGCAAGCTGGCGAGCAAGACATCAGGTGGGTTGGACTTGATGCGTGTGCGAGCGGCAGCGATGGCGTTTTGCGTGATCTCGGCTAGCCAGAAGCCTCCGTACTGCCCATGGTTGTCGTTCCTCCTCGTGGTGGTGCCCAGCTGTGTTTCGCAAGCAGAATAAGCGTTTAGTACGTACGTACATCGAATCATCGTCCTTCAACTCAACTGATGAAAGAACAAAGAATAAGAAGGCAACATGCATGGAATTGAATTGCCAAAGAAAACTCACCAGAATGTCGTCCTCCATGAGTTCCTCCTACCTCGCGGCTGCTCACGGTTCATGCGGGCACGACGCCCCCAACCAGCAGAAACTATATATATATATATATATATATATATATATATATATGGAAAAAGTCCATTTTTGTCCTCCAACTATGGCTGCAGTTTGTTTTTAGCCCTCTCACTCAAAAACTAGACACGTGCAGTCTTAACTCTCAAACCAGTTAAAATTAGCCCTCGCGGCCATTTGACCCTGGTTTCGGCCCAGTCTACCCGCCACGATCGCGGTTTCGGCCAAGTCTCCATGTCTGACGAGCCGAGTCCACATCGCGAGCTTCCATTATGTCAGGCAGAATAAACAGAAGGGCAATAAGCCTATGGCTGTCGCTGATGCAAGCTCGTTGCTGCTCCAATTTTGACGCGCGGCCACACTTGCCGTCCACGCGGGGCCTCCCCTGCTGCACTGTGCAGGCTCACCGCCACCGGCTAAGCTCCCTTCCCTGCGAGGCCCCCGATACGGCCTCATCTCCGGACGAACTCGCCACAGCCGCCCGCACTCGCTGCTCTCCTGCGCGCAGATCCGATGCGGGATGGCGCCGGACTGCTCGCCGTCGCTGGAGGTGCTGCCCGCGGGAGGGGCCTCCTGGTGCCGCGCCGGGCTGCTCACCATCGCTGGATGTGCTACCCGCGGGAGGGGCCTCCTAGTGCTGCGCCGGGCTGGCCACGCTCGCTGGAGGTGGCGGCCGCGCCGGGCTGGCCCCGCCGGACCCGCCTACACCATGACGGCCAAGGGTGGTGGGAGTGGGTCCGGGCGGAGCTGGATCAGGCGGGAGAGAGCTCGGCTGCGGCGCCCTCCCCATTGGAGTGAGCGTGGTTTCCAAAACGTTGGAGGTCCGCTCAGTCGTTTCATCGCAGGGAGAGAAGGGAAGCAGACTCCTCCGTACTTTCTTCTTGGCCGCACTTTCTTCTTCACCGCCGCTCCTGCCATGGCCCACTCACCCCCGCCACATGCCACTGCCGCGGGATGGCCCCCGCCGTGGCCACGCCCTCTCCCGGTCTAGCCGTGGCCATGGCTGCTATCGTGCGCCTCACCTGGCCCATCCATGGCTGCCGCCACGCGCCTCGCCCGATGGCGCCGCCTCGTTGCGTGTTGGGGCTGGACGAGCAGAAGAGGCCGCGCTCGGAGAGGTCGCCATGGCCGGCCGAGGCGCGACCCGGAGAGGCAGCCATGGCCTGCCGTGCCCCCACGTCGAGCCCCACGCGCCGTAGCTGCGACAGGACGGCCGCGCTCCCGAGCTCCGACGAGACATCGTCGCTATATTGGCCACCACCGTGAGCGTGCCCTGGCCTCCTTCCCCGCACGCTGCCGCGAGCGAGCCCCGGCCTCCATCCTCGAGCGTTGTCGGTTCTTCCTCGCGCGCCCCGGCCGCGAGCGCAAGGTCTGGAGAGGCCGCACCCGCGAGCTCCGATGAGATGCCGTCGCTGCGCTAGCTGCCGCCCCTCTCTAGGCCCGGCTGCGCGCGCCCCGGGCGCCTACCCCCCACGCCCCCACCCACCGGATCCGTGCACCCCTCTCCTGGCGGCTGCTCCCATCGTCACCATGGCGGCGTGCGCCCCCGCGCGAGTGCCACGCCGCCGCCTGTGGGAGCCGCCAGCGCATGGAGACTGGGCCGAAACCGCGGTCGTGGTGGGTTGACTGGGCCGAAACCGCGGTCGAATGGGCGCAAGGGCCAATTTTAACTGGTTTTGAGAGTTAAGAGACTGCGCGTGTCTGGTTTTCGAGTTAGGGGGCTAGAAACAAACTGTAGCTATAGTTGGAGTGCCAAAAATGGACTTTTTTCCTATATATATATATATGTGCTGCCAGCCAGCAGTACCAAGGGTCGGTCTCAGGGCCTGGCTAAATTTAGCTGCTAGGGATCTAAACGACCCAGCTAAAAGACTAGTTAAAGTTTAACTGGAGCTCAAAACGTACACAATGCCTTGAGCTCTTTCAACCTAGCTAATTGCAGTTAAAAGTGGCTAATGACCAAATGGCCCTCACATACTTTTTCTGCATCCGAGCGCTAAGTCTGCATTCGCCGCAATCCGCCTGCCGCCGCCACCCCAACCTCCATTGCATGCGGCTTCTTTTTCCCACGCTCTGGCACCTCCGCAAGCATCGCGACTCCTCCCGCGAGCAGGCCTCCGCAAGCACCCGGCGGCAAGCACCCAGCGCGCCGACATCTCCGTAAGCACCGGACAGCATGTGCCGCGGCTCCAAGCAGGCCTCACTGCGTGACTCCTCCTCTGCCGCGCAAGATCCTCCTGGCCGCGCCCACCTCACCGCGCCTCCTCCACCAGGCAGCGCGCCTCCTCCGCCTAGCCGCGTCCACCATGGCCACGACCTCCTGCGCGGTCGGGACTCGGGAGGAAGAAGAACAGCCGCCCGCGAGCTCCTCCCCCTAAACAGACCTCAAGGAGGGCTAGCATGGTCCAAGGTCTTCAATTAGCTAGATTATCCAAACACCCCCGGCTAAAGTTTAGCTCTAGCAATTAGCCAACTAAACTTTATCTTTACGTGGGTGCGTACATTACATCTTTATGTGATTCAATTTTCTGAGATTCCGAAGCTCTCCGGCCCGTCCAAACTGCCAACGTACACGTACATTACAACTTGATGAGGCTCGCCTGGTTCTCCCTAGTTTTGTCGGAGATGGAGATGGAATGCAAGCACTCAGCAGCCTGACTGTCGTCCTCATCGAGCTGTCCCTGCAATGACGAGGATTCCAGCTGAGGGAGATCCGACATGGCAAAAAAAAAAAACTGTGGCTAGCTGTTGTTGCGGTTGATGCCGGACACTCCGAGCTTGTGCAGTGCAGCTGGGTAAGGTTCTCGGTCGAACTCATCCAGAACGCCCTAGCTCATCGCCTGTGGACCCGCGCTCGCGCTGATATTAACAACACACCCATCACGTGCATCAAGCTGGAAAGCTTTCCCAATCCTTCTAGTTTAGGTACCTTCCACGCCATTACGAGAGAGGCACCAGCACTAGGCACCATCAAGTCTTTCAAACATGCCGCCACTGTTGCTATCATCCGATAGATTGTGGTCCTTGTCTCGTGAGAGGTGAGAAAGAAGAATCTGACGTCGACAATGGGGGTTGTTGTACTGTGGTCATTTTCGTCGAGGTCATCACCGTCTTTGTCCTACTCCAGAGAGATCAGAGTGCAATGACCTAGTAGGGGATTTGGGTGGTTTCTCATGATCTCCGTCAGTGCCGGTCTCAAGATTTTTGTGTCCTACTACTAGAACCAAATTTAAAATAGAGGCACCTTATAATATAATTAAAAACTTAAGCATCAATTAATACATATTATATCAATAAAAAGGATTTAAAACTTCCTTGGGGGTTTGGTTGCCAAGGAAACAAAGATGAGGTCAGATTTTTAACAACGTCAAGAAAATACAAAGGACATATATTTTCTTAATTGCCGATGAATAAGCATTTTGGTAGCACTAGAAAAATGGAATTACTTTGGCGGTTTTGGTTAGCACTCAACAATATGTATTTTCTTGGAGGTTTCATACAACCCCCAAGGTAATGATAAATCGTTAGGGGTTCAATTTCGCCCCTCAAAGAAAATGCTGGCCCCCAAAGATGTTCTATTTTCTGGTAGTGCCAAAACATATATACTCATGAGGCTTGATCTCGGAGAGCGGCCATGCTCTTGACTGTCATCATGTGATGTTTGTGTTTTAATTATTTTAATTCTGCTGCTACAGAAAGCATTTTTAGAGGCCGCTAAAATAGGTTTCCAGAGACACATGTTCAGCTGCGGGCTCAGCCTGAGCCACCCAAGATTCGAGTGACGCGGGGGTCGAGGAAGGGAAAAATTGTGATCTAGTCTTACGATTCCTAGCTGGAGTTATTTGGGGTCACAGTGCTATTGACGTGCATTTTTTTTAACACTCGTAACAAAACCCTTCATGGAAAATTGTCTTCTGCCCTGCAGATTGATCGATTTTTAGTTCTGAAACTACGTTGCTATATGAAACAGTACCGATGTAGGCCTTCCTAAGACCTTCTTTTGAGCTTTTGGTCACTTTTAGACTACTAGTTTTTGGATTTTACAAAAGTCAAATAGCTCCCATAAAGTAAAAGCCCAAAAGCCACATATAATAAGCTTTTGGCTTTTGACAGTTTTTTTTTTTGGTTTTTGGAAGGTCTGAAAACTGAAGTCGAAAAGGTCACACAAACCTGCCCTAGATAGGTAAGCACTACTGTGTTTATATTGGTTCCCCGATACAGATCGATCTGCTATTTGCGCCAGATAGTACTAATACAATCCATATTTTGGTTTGGACGATATGTTATCGTTAATGGGATGAGGATGATAGAATAGCCATTTCTTAATTTTTTTCGTTTTTTTTGGGTTGGTTGGGGGGGGGTAGTCAGAGACATGGGACGACCGCAGGAGGTTAGAACGTGCCACATGCAGATGCACAGACTATACATGTGTTTGTGTATAGCCAATTGTACGTGCGAGGCTATTGGGCCTACCCCGAAATGAATGCAATCGTGGTGACTAGTCGTCGTCGTAACCAGTGCCTCGGTGGTAGTGGTGCAAGTGAAAGCGATGAGCAGGCGCAGACGCGCGCAGTCCATGCATGTTGGTCACGAGGGCCACATGCAGATACACAGACTATACATGTGTTTGTGTATTGCCAATTGTACGTGCGAGGCTATTGGGCCTACCCCGAAATGAATGCAATCGTGGTGACTAGTCGTTGTCGTAACCAGTGCCTCGGTGGTAGTGGTGCAAGTGAAAGCGATGAGAAGGCGCAGACGCGCGCAGTCCATGCATGTTGGTCACGAGGGCCACATGCAGATGCACAGACTATACATGTGTTTGTGTATTGCCAATTGTACGTGCGAGGCTATTGGGCCTACCCCGAAATGAATGCAATCGTGGTGACTAGTCGTCGTCGTAACCAGTGCCTCGGTGGTAGTGGTGCAAGTGAAAGCGATGAGCAGGCGCAGACGCGCGCAGTCCATGCATGTTGGTCACGAGGGACCGCTGCTGCGTAGTACGGGATCAAGTGGCATCACAAGGAGCGTCCATGTTCCGTCCATCTTTACAGCGACACGTACTGGATCGACAGGCATCACGAGGAGCGTCTGTAGTCGTCTCAGCCTGTCTGCAGGCAGCGTACTGGCAATAATGCTCTGAGCTCGGCTGAGGCTACTGCTGCAAATCAACTCAAAAACTTATAATTCATTTGTGCTGCGCCATAGAGTGCCATGAACTAAAACATGCTTATAATTTTGTATGTATGTAGTATGTATTACTGACTATTTAAATCTGTTTTTTGTCCAATTTGGTGTATCAGTTTTGACATCCAAAAAAATTCACATTCATATCAACATCTGTGTATTCCATTCTGATCCAAAACTGATAAATAAAAGCAGATTACGATATAGGAGAGGCATCATCCGCTCTGCTTGGATCCGTTTTCTTCTCTACTAGCAGAAAGGAAGCTTCTGGTTCCGTCTGTTTTCTTTCCTTTTTGACAGTAAAAACCACTATGCCACAAAAGCAGATTAGTGACGCGTCCAAACAGTAATTAGTGATGCGGAAAACACACGTCACTTACATTGCGTCTGTGATGTGAACACATCAGTGACGCGCAAAAACGCGTCACTAATGACCCCTCGCGCAGCTACGACGCGTCACTGATGACCTTCAGCAGCGACGCGATCAGCCACCACGCGTGACTGATGACCTTCAGTGGCGACGCGCTCAGCTAGGACGCGTCGCTGATGACCCTTCAGCAGCGACGCACCTCGCCAAGACAGGTCACTGATGCGGATCTCTGCAGAGACGCGCTTTGGCTAAACACGTCACTAATGACATTTTACAAAAACAAAAACAAAAAAAATCTCTACCATGGTCCTTTATGCATTACACATGTTTCATCCATTTCAGCAATCAATTCTTTACAAACTTCAGATACAGCTTAACCTACAAATCATCTGCTCAAGGAGCTACAAGCCTAGAAGATTGCTAATAATACATGAACAGCAACATAGAAGATTTATTACAGTACATAAGCTGTAACTACATTGAGTATATGGGCTGTTCTTGAGATCCTGCAAAACCATTATGCTCCAATAAGCCAGCTAGCATATAACAAAACAATAATTAGTAGTTGCTTGGAAAGTAACTAGAGAGGAAACTTCTACTTAC